TGAGCTGTCGCCCTCGGCCTCACTCTGACCTGGCTGTCAGCCAGGCCTGCCTCCCACAGGGGCTTTGGGGCTCCTAAGGGCCCCCTAGCTTTCCACTTTGTGCTCTCCTCCCTGTGCCCAGGAGAGAGAGTGCCCTGAGCAAGCCTGCATGGGGAAGGCTTTTATAAAAGTCTTTTTTCTCTAGGACAAGATAAAGCGGGCAGACAGGCCGGCAGGCTGCCCAGAGGCAGTGTCTGTCACCTTTATTCCTGTGTGTCACTGCTGAGAGAGCTGGCTCAGAACAGGACGAATTCGGGTGTGGATCCTGACTCAGTGTGCCACTCGCCAGCTACACACACACACACACACACACACACACACACACACTCCCTGTTTAGTAGAGATGTGCCTCCTCTAGGAAGCCCTCCTACCTACCCCAGGCTTCCTCAGGGGCCTCCTGGGCTCCCACAGGCTCCTGTGCTTTCTTTTGCTATAGCCCTCACCCCTCATCCTGTGTGCTCCCTGATGACTCTGGGCCCCCAGGACTGGTGACAGGGATTTTTTAGACAAGTGAGCTGTGAGCCCAGGGCAGGGTCCGGCACTTGGTAGGGCTGGGGTGTGCTCACAGGCCCACCTGTCTCCTCTCGGGCTTTTGCTCTGTGTGTATGTGAGGGGCAGAGGAGGGCGGGAGGAGATCAGGCTGATGGCCCCTGGGCTTTGCTCCTGGGGGGCCGCTGTGAGATGTTTAGGAGGGGAGGGCCGGCAATGTGTTCCCTCAAGAACCTCGGTGTAGAGAGACTGGGATGGGAGCCAGGGGCCAGGGAGGAGGGAGAGGAAGGCTGCCCCTGAGGGGACGTCGGATTTGAGAGGGGAGTGGACGTGCAGGGGTGTGGCACCCTGTCGAAGGTGCAGGGAAGGTCGCCAGAGAGGAGACCTGCTCAGTGGAGGGGAAGGGCCTGGGAACGCCAGCACCAACGAGGACACGGACTCAGGGAGGCCCGAGTCAGGCGTGCTCTCCCCCAGCACCTCACCCTGCTGTGGGGGCCCTTGGGAGGGTGGGCGCAGCAGCAGGCTCTGGGCAATGGGGGCCACGTGGACAGTCAGGAAGGCTTCCAGGTGGAGGGGCCGTGGGAACCAACACAGGAGGAGGGAGCTGCCAGAAACCCCAGGTGGTAGTTGTCAAAGCCACCAGGTGCAGGGGAGGCCTGGGGCTTGCCCAGAGGTTGAGCCCAGACCCCCAAGTCAGAGGGATGTGCTAGGGACCAGCCCCTGTGCTTGGCAAGCTCTTTCCTGGGAGCGCTGTGAGGAGCCAGGTCCAGTCAGGGCCAGGCAGACGCTTCGGCCCACAACTGGACAGAGCCCAGGAGCCAGCACCCTGCGGCCTGAGGTGGGACAGGGGGGCGCTGCAGTGGGTGTCCTCAGTGTCTGACTGGGGAGCACACACACACACACACACACACACACACACACACTCCCTGTTTAGTAGAGATGTGCCTCCTCTAGGAAGCCCTCCTACCTACCCCAGGCTTCCTCAGGGGCCTCCTGGGCTCCCACAGGCTCCTGTGCTTTCTTTTGCTATAGCCCTCACCCCTCATCCTGTGTGCTCCCTGATGACTCTGGGCCCCCAGGACTGGTGACAGGGATTTTTTAGACAAGTGAGCTGTGAGCCCAGGGCAGGGTCCGGCACTTGGTAGGGCTGGGGTGTGCTCACAGGCCCACCTGTCTCCTCTCGGGCTTTTGCTCTGTGTGTATGTGAGGGGCAGAGGAGGGCGGGAGGAGATCAGGCTGATGGCCCCTGGGCTTTGCTCCTGGGGGGCCGCTGTGAGATGTTTAGGAGGGGAGGGCCGGCAATGTGTTCCCTCAAGAACCTCGGTGTAGAGAGACTGGGATGGGAGCCAGGGGCCAGGGAGGAGGGAGAGGAAGGCTGCCCCTGAGGGGACGTCGGATTTGAGAGGGGAGTGGACGTGCAGGGGTGTGGCACCCTGTCGAAGGTGCAGGGAAGGTCGCCAGAGAGGAGACCTGCTCAGTGGAGGGGAAGGGCCTGGGAACGCCAGCACCAACGAGGACACGGACTCAGGGAGGCCCGAGTCAGGCGTGCTCTCCCCCAGCACCTCACCCTGCTGTGGGGGCCCTTGGGAGGGTGGGCGCAGCAGCAGGCTCTGGGCAATGGGGGCCACGTGGACAGTCAGGAAGGCTTCCAGGTGGAGGGGCCGTGGGAACCAACACAGGAGGAGGGAGCTGCCAGAAACCCCAGGTGGTAGTTGTCAAAGCCACCAGGTGCAGGGGAGGCCTGGGGCTTGCCCAGAGGTTGAGCCCAGACCCCCAAGTCAGAGGGATGTGCTAGGGACCAGCCCCTGTGCTTGGCAAGCTCTTTCCTGGGAGCGCTGTGAGGAGCCAGGTCCAGTCAGGGCCAGGCAGACGCTTCGGCCCACAACTGGACAGAGCCCAGGAGCCAGCACCCTGCGGCCTGAGGTGGGACAGGGGGGCGCTGCAGTGGGTGTCCTCAGTGTCTGACTGGGGAGCCTGCAGGTATGGCCGTTGGTGGGGATGGTGGCGGGACCCAGGGTGGGGTGGTCCTTGGGAAACAGGCTCGGGGCCCCCACCCCCTGCACCTGGTGGACTGAGACACGGAGTCCGGTCACATGGCGCGCTTCCTCTCAGGACCCGTTTGACGCAGCCGGGTACTACCAGCTGGCACTGGCGGCGGCCGTGGACCTGGGCCACAAGAAGGCCCAGCTGAAGATCTACACGCGGCTGGCCACCATCTACCACAACTTCCTCCTGGACCGCGAGAAGTCCCTCTTCTTCTACCAGAAGGCTCGGACCTTCGCCTCCGAGCTCAACATCCGCAGGATCAACCTGGCCCCCCAGAGGTTCTGCGGGCGGGCGCCCTGGCTGGCCCCCGGGCACCCGCCCTGAGGGATGGGCTGGGGACCCCCCCCCCCGAGACTCTGGCGGCTCGTTTGCTGAGAGCTGGTGCGGGAAGATAAGGGTCCGATAGCAATAAAAGGCTTTCGCATAACCTGACTGTGCGGCGGCCTCTCGCTCTGCTTCCTGGGGACGCCCCCTCTTCTCCAGCAGCAAGTCCAGCCGCTCCCAGACGTGCGCCCCTCACCACCTGCTCACAGCGCGGCCTGGGCTCCCTCACTTCCCCTCCCACCTCAGTTTCCTTGCCTGTCGAAGGATGGGGTGAGGAGGTGCTGGTGGGGCTCTGCACAGAGCCCTGGATGTCACCCCTCCCTGAGTCCCTACTACGTGTCTGCCACTGCCCTTTGCGCCAGTCTGCAAACCACGGTGCAAGGGTCAGGACTCTGTCCTCACGTGTGGCTGAAGAACGGAAGCAAAGAGCAGTCAGGAGCTTTGCCCACCATCATGCAGCAGGCAGGGGCTGGGCCCAGAGCCCAGCAGTGACGACTGTACGACTGTACCGTCCTGCTAGCTGCTGTGAGGGGGGTGTCACCTCCTAGAACCCAAGGACGCTCCTGGTCCTCTCTGCCCTCACCTGACGAGGCCAGAGGGGCAGCCACGTGCGTCCCCGTGTGTCCTTTGTTCCAGACTTCCTGGGGTGAGTCCGCTGTGACTGGGCTTAGAAGGCCCCGCCCTCCCCGGCATGCCCCTCCTTGTCCCTTCGGACCCAGCCGTCATCTGTGCTCCAGGAATCCTGGCATCAACCCCGAAACGTGGCTTTAATGCTTCCTTTAACTGCGTGCAGGCAGGCCCTGGGTGCCCCCTGATTCTCAAGCACACTGCACTATCCAAGCAGCAAGGTGAGACCCACCTAGCCTGCGGTCATCTGGGGATGGCCGCATCACAGCCCCTTCTCCTCCGCTCTCCTCTCAGGATATTAAGCACGCACGCACATGTACCTGACGTGTTCTTTAGATCTCGGGTCTAGGACTCAGACCGTGGAGTCAGCCGTGGGGAATCCAGCACCTTAACCACCACGCCACCTGCTGGTCCACAATCAACCACTTTAAAGTGTGCAATCCAGAGGCATTTCATGCGATCACAGTGCCCTGCGGCCACCTCCTCCACCTGGTTCAAAATATTTGCATCTCGGGGGCGGGCAGGTGGCGTGGTGGTTAAAGTGGCTGGACTCCCACATGGCTGACCACGGTTCAAGTCCCAGACCTGGCAGCTTTCTCACTTTCTCTCTCTCTCTCTGTCTCTCTCTGGTCAACTTCAAAGAAAAATAAGATAATGACAATGACAATGAATACAATTAGAAAAATTTGCATCTACAGAAGAAACTTCCTGTGTCCACAGAGCAGTCATTGTGCCTCCTGCCTCTCCAAGGCCTCTTGTTTAACAGGACGGGAAAACAAGGCCTGGGAGGGACTTACGGGTGGCAGAGCCTGGGTAGGAGCCAGCCTTGGCACGGGACCCCCAGCAGGAGCCACAACAGCACGAAGGGCCCTGCAGGCCAGCAGGTGGCGTGGTGGCGAAGGCACTGAGTCCCACACGGTGGACTGTGACCTTCAGGCCCAAGACCCAGTGGCTGGAGAAACACACTGGGTGCCTGTGTGTGCCCAAGATCCCCAGAGGAGGCTAGAGACGGGGGTGTGGAGTGGCCATCCCCCCCCCACGCCAAGCCCCGGAGTGATTTCTCACTTTCCCTCTCTCTGTCTCTCTGGTGAGTACAGTCACTCTATACAAAAAATCTTAAAGATAAATAAACAAATTAATTAATTAATAATAATAAAAAGTCCTGGCGAGGAGAGCCAGGAGCCTCCATCCTGCCTTCCTGTGGCCGGTCCGCTGGGTCGTGCCTGTAGGCGCTTGTCCCACCAGGGGGCGGCAGAGAGCTATCGGGACCAGCCCTCCACCAGGGCAGGAGCTCCTTCACCAGAACTGCGGCCAGACTAACCTGACCCCGAAGCTCTCCGTGGGTTGGGTTTGGGACTGGGAGAGGCCGTGTAACTGAAAATGGGAAGACGTGAAGACAGCATGGGATGACAGATCTCTGAGGTCGGCACCCGCTGAGCCTGGGCCTGCAGCCATCCCACGTGGGGTGGGGCCAGCAGCCCACCTCCTGGGTTTGGGACCTGAGCCCTCCCCCTAGCCACAGCCCCCACTCGCCACGGCCCCCACCCGCCCTGCCTAGGACCCATCTTGGAGCCTGGGAGCCCAGAGGGAAGGAGCTGCGGTGAAGCCCCTGGGTCAAACCCCGGCCCCACACCAGGCTGGGTACCTGGGTGAGAGTGCTTCTCACAGCCCAGCTGGGCCCTGGGCCACAACATCGGGAGTCGAGGTGAACTGGGAGGTGCAGAGCGCTCCTCTCAGGTGGCCACACTGCGAGCTGCTGGTTTTCTAAGGCTCCTCACCACCCCGGGAAGAGCTCAACCACCACGGGCTGCAGGACACTGGGCTGAAGAGGAGCTCCGGTCAACCGCCTCGCCTCTCAGACCCCTCTCTTCATCTGTAACCAAAGATGGTCGCTCCCAGAAGCTTCCTTCCAAGAATGCGGGAGGACTTGGGGAAAGTGTCAGCCAGGGGAGGGGTGCAGACGCTGGCAGCCTGCCCTCACCACCCTGAGTGGAGGAGCACGGTGGAGGCTGGGCTCAGCTCTCTCCTGCTCAGCCGACTGGGCCCAGCCTGCTCTGCCCCTGGATGGCCCTGCACAGCAGCCCTGCACCCCTCCTTCCGCAGGGCAGCGTGGGCAGAGGTGAAGAGAGCCAGTGAGCATGTGCGGGGTCCCATGCAGCCGCCGGGCTCACAGCCATGGACTGAGGCCCGGGCGTTTAGCAGGGGCGTCTGTGTCTCCCTGTGGATGCAGTCACTCCCACACCTCTGCTGTGTACCTACTGTGTGATACTCCACTGACTGCCGCTGGCCAGGCCCAGGCTGAGCCACGTGAGATTCAGGGAATGTTCCAGATGGCCCTCCCTGAGCTCCCGAGGCTAGGGACAAGTGGAGACAAAGTCTCACTCCTGCCAGGGGGCCCTGGAGCCTCTCCTCTGAACAGAGAAGGGAAGCCCCTCGCCCAGGGCCATGCAGCCCCACCTCCTGTCCGAAGCAACAGCAGGCTCCTCTCCCTCAGAGTCCCCAGCTTCCTGCACTAGTGTGTCCCAGGGCAATGCTGACCCCAGGCCAGCTTGGTCCATCACTTTGGATGGGGGAAGCCGAGGCTCAGAGAAGAATGGTCACCCTCCCAGGGGTACACAGCAAATTGCCATCTTCCTTCCCATCTCTAGGAGCCACGGCAGCCCCATCTCCTCGGTGTCCGAATACCAGGCAGGAATGGAAAGGGCGTGTGTTTGGGGTCCGTGTGATGCTGAACTCCCCCCCGGGCAGAGTTCCCCAGAGACAGGACAGGCCACTCAGGAACAAGCGAGCTGTCTCAGCAGTGGGTTTGAGCAGGCCATGGGGGTCTCCAGCATGAGTGGTATGTCCAGGTGCCCCTCTGGTGTCTGCTGAGGAGCCCCTCCTCAGACTCCAGTCTGCACACGCTGGGCCTGGACGTGGTTCTCAGGAGCTTAGCGGCAGGCAGCTCTTACTTCCCCAAGAAAGTCCCTGCCTGGCCTTGGGGGGACGGGCGCTGTCCCAGGCTCTGCATCTAATGATACCTGTCCACGGGATGCGGGGGTTGGGGCAGGAGTGAGCAGGAGAGAGCTGGGCTCCTGGGGCCTCTCTCTGGCCCATGTGATCAGAGCACCCGGCGGGGTGTCCTCCACGCGCCCTGCCTCTGCAAGCCTCAGCCTTTTCCTCTGTGACAGCAGGCGGTGACAGGGGCCTCACAGGAATGATAAGGTTAGCAGCAGGGTGAGAAACTTCTGGCGTGTTCTCCAGGGCTTACCAGGGCCCCAGGACTGATGTAGGATGATGGCTAAAACAAGGGCGGTGTGCATTCCGCAGACATGGAAGGAAGTGCTCAAACGGCCTTGTGTCGCGCCTCCCCTTGTCGCAACTCTGTCACACTGCCCCTGTGTCACGCTCCCCCCACCCCGTCTCGCGCCTCCCTTCTTGCGCGCCTCCCCTCGCGCCTCCCCTATCACGCGCCTCCCCTGTCTCGCGCCTCCCCTGTGTCACGCCTCCCCTGTGTCACGCCTCCCCTGTCGCACCTCCCCTGTGTCGCGCCTCCCCTCTCGCGCCTCCCCTGTGGCGCCCCTATCACGCGCCTCCCCTGTCTCGCGCCTCCCCTGTGTCGCGCCTCCCCTGTGTCACGCCTCCCCTGTGTCACACCTCCCCTGTCACACCTCCCCTGTCACGCCTCCCCTGTCGCACCTCCCCTGTGTCATGCCTCCCTGCGCCGCGCCTCCCCGCATGTAGGAGAGTCTGTAAGTGTGTAGACCGCACGGGGCAGCACAGTGAAGGGGTTCGAGACGTAGCTCAGGCCTCTGGTTGGCTGCCTCTGGGTTACTTAAAGGGGGATCACCCTGGAGCGCGGCCTAATCAGACCAGCCCCTTAGAAAGGACGCAGCCCCCACAGGGAGGGGGGAGGCTTGTAGTCGAAGGGCTTACTGTGAAACAAGTCGAAAGCAGAGAAAGTACTGTTTTTACAAAGCAAACGTATTGGAATGTGTACCGGGAGTAAGGTTCGGGGTTGTGAACAACCGAGTTCATGTCGTTAGGCTTCCTCTGTGACGTGAGCTATGCTGTCACTCACACAGTAAAGCGGAATTGTTAGCCGCTAGTTGACAACAGGATCACGTGAAGGGAAAGTAAGCGGCTGCAGACTCTCCTGTCACCCTGGAGCCAACAGTCCGCCCTGCTGTGAGCTTCCTGTGGACGGGGCGCGAGGAGCCGAGGGCCCCTCCAGGAGCTGAGCCGTCCCCCCGACAGCCCTCAGGAAACGACCTCGGCACCGCAGCAGCCAAGAACCAGGTGAGCCTGGGAGGCACCGTGCGGCCCAGATGAGCGCGACAGCCCTGTGGCCTGCGAGCAGCAGGCAGAGTTGGGAGGTGCCCCGCTGTGAACCTGCCTGCCGTCTGCTGAGACCCCGGGCATGGAGCCGCGCCCAGCGCCTGCCCCGCAGACACCAACGTCACAAATGGGTGCCGTGTGAAGCCACT